TTTTGAAGTGGAGAAGGGGTTGCATGGGTGTTGTGAGTCTGGTCATTATGATAGCTTCCTTTTTATTCTTGTCTTTATTTTTCTCTTCTCTTTTTCTTTCCTTTTCTTTTCCTCTTCTTTCTCTTCCCTCTCTCTCCCCTCTTTCTTTTCTCTTATTACCCAGCCCGGTACGACGACTTGGTCGGCCCGGTAAAAACCGTCAGAGGAGGGGCAGTTTTCCCCCTGCCCCACCCTCCTCCCCCGCGCCTGTTACGACACTGGCTAACACGCCAATCATCCCCCCCAATGAAAAATATTTTTCTACGCCACTGAAAAACTGAGTCTGATACCCCAACAAGAGGCCACATTTACCTCAGCTCCACCACCATGGTTGGGGCTGGGCGAGTGAGCAAATTTTAAAATGGGCACCTCTAGATTGCAGGAAATGGCACTTTCAGACTGTAAAAATACGTTTTCAAAGCAGTTTTTTCAACAAAATGACATTTCCCCGAGCCTGAGCTGTTACCGCCATGGTTAGACATCATATAATATCAGCGCTCCCCATTTAATCCGTTATCCCCCATTTGTCTCCCCTTCCAGTGAGCTTAATTCAGAAAAAGCCAGACTCTTGTTAACAATGACAGAGTATGTGGTCGTGTTTCTATTAACAGACAAGCTTTTTCTGTAATTACTGAAAATCGGCCGGAAAATATCTATTTGTGAGCAATGTTGCGCTGGCCATGGCCGGATCAACATCTTTGACGATTGTGCCCAAAATTGTTTACAAAACGTAATGCAATAATAGCATATTGACTACTATTGTATATTTTCGGAAATTTTTCAGCCGCTCCAAATCTCTTTCCTATTCTTCCTTTTATTCTTTCACAATTTTACGTTTTATTCATATTTTCCATAATGATATACACTCGCATGATAGTCACTCGTTTAGGCCTAGGCTAGACCTCGGCTATGCCCATTACTATATTATTTAAAATATAAAATTTTAATAGAAAAGATTGATTTTACATGGACACAGTAATTCATACTTTAAACAATACATTAATTTCAAATGTAAATATAATGCTGTTAACAAATAAATAACAATAATTTAAACGTGTACATAGGCCTAGTATCACTACTACAAAAATAAGATTAATATTTTTCAATCTTGTAATCAATTTTATATAGCCGGAGTTAGTTTCGACCTAGGCAAACCTTTGCTAAAAAGGTACGCTTTCTCCATCAAAAGGCTTCTTCTATGAATGTAATGACCTGTTCGAAGCACGAACTCATGTAGACCAAACCCAGTACCGTTACGATTTTTCAATCGTACGGGAAATCCACTCACGATACTTTAAACAATACATTAATTTCAAATGTAAATATAATGACGTTAACAAATAAATAACAATAATTTAAACGTGTACATAGGCCTAGTATCACTACTACAATAATAAGATTAATATTTTTCAGTCTTAATCAATTTTATATAGCCGGAGTTAGTTTCGACCTAGGCAAACGTTTGCTAAAAAGGTACACTTTCTCCATCAAAAGGCTTCTTCTATGAATGGAGTAACCTGTTCGAAGCACGAGCTCCTGTAGACCAAACCCAGTACCGTTACGATTTTTAATTGTACGGGAAATCCACTCACGATACAATAACAAGCTTAAAAACAATATCGGTAATTATATAAACAAATATTTGGTGGTGGGGCGACGGAATGGATCTTTTTTGTTTTGGAAGGGCGTGCTTCCCTGTGCACCCACTAGACACGTCAGTTCATCTGACTAATCAATGTTTTAATTGCCTATGATATGATATCTCTGGCGATAAGTTCCTTCATGATTTCATTGCTTCCTCCATAAATAGATTGGACGCGGCTATCAATAAACGCACGTGAAACGTCATTCTCCCACATGCAACCAGTTTCACCATGGAGCTGGATACATTCACTTGCCACCCTGTTGGCCAAGTCAGTGCACCTATGAAATCAAAATTAACAGTTAACACAATACATTATTAACACAATTATATTAAAATGATATGTTATCCGGAGAAATTCTTAATTTTTGTGGGCGGTCCACAGGGCCCCCGACTTACAGGGGCCATGGTGGTCCTCGATCTAGCTTCCTGACACAAAAGAGCTTTGTTGATACTTCAGCATAATGTGTCTCTGAAATCGACTGCAACACATATAACATATTGTATTCACTGACGGATTTGTTAAAATTTAAACAAACTGGAGAGAAAAAGAAAATTGTATTCCAATTTTAAATTTGCCAGTGCCAGGGAACAGTGAAATTCCCTGGTCAGTGCCATTTCCGACTACCAAGAGGTGCTGTAATCATAAAATTTCTTACCAACCATGGTGTGGCCAAACGATATCATATTATTTATTTCGTAGTTAAAAACAATTAGAACACAATGAAAAACATGATTTAAAAACGAGCACATCTAAAATCCCACAACGAAATTGGTGACGGGAACCCGAAAGGGCTCCCATTCTCAGAAAGCCACGTTACGCTACTGTTTGTGGGAATTCTCTTGTCGGGAAATCTCCTTGATTGAAAATCCCTTCCAGTCCCCACCTACTGGGGAATAGCAAACGTATTCCATAGAATTCAACTATTTGAAAAACTTAACACTTAAGGGGACAAGATATTCGGTACGGTTTCTCCTATCAAACTCACCAATATTTCACCATCGATGACATTGATGAATTAAGCCTGCCTTCGTTATACAAGCGAAAGCACTGATCAGCAAACGATCTCCCGAAGCAAATATCTGTTTTCAATTCAGCAAGTTTATGTTGTACTACCTTAAATTAAAATTGATGATATACCTAAATATATTTAAGCAAGTGTATCGACATATGTTGCACGTTAACAATTAGGCCTATTATTGGATTTTCAGTGTGAGATACACCAAAGATAAACCACAAAGTCCTATTTCCATTCCACTGAGTCTTACTGAATAATTTAAATTTTTTTTTATTCATTTCCATTGCAAAAAAATCATACTGAAGAATTGGACTCTTTCCGAAGAATGCACTACGTTTTTTAATGCCCACATGGATCATATACACTGGACCAGCGACTTAAACGTCATCCTTTATCCGGGCTATTGACACTTGCATTTCAACCCTCCAGCTGAAACACAAAGAGAGCCTGCTGATGGACTTTAACCGAGGCAGGGATGGCGCCGGGATTTTCCCTAAAAACATGACAATTTAGAGGTTTCAAATGCTTATTCAATCGATTTTAGAGTCTGCTAATATGCAGAAAATAAGTATATATTATTGTTTCCCCCGGCAAATTTTGGTTTTTCTTTCCGAAGTAGGGGGGGGGGAGGAGTCTCCCCGACAGGGGTGGTGTGGGCAGGGATCACTGACGCCACCAACCGAGAACCAACATACCATCCACGTTCAGCGAGCACAGAGTGGCAACCACAAGTTTAGCCAACTGAGATAAGTGCTCTTTTGTATTAAGAGGTACATAACACAATGTCCGACAATGAGTACTTTGTCGTACGTAGTATGATTTTGTACATTTCATTTAATTTCATTTATTTCGTCCAATTTTAAAAACATTATACAAGAAAAACAAAAACAAAACAAAACACCCTTGGCAGAGACAGGTTTAAACAAAAGCAAACTTAATTTCTGTACAAATTTTCTCCGCCGCCAAGGGGGACACTTAATAAACAACTTAACTTTACATGTTATAAGTGAAGAACAAATAGGTTGTAGCATACAGGGGCCTAATACTAACTGTAGTAGCTACAACGATCCCTGTCCTTACCACCTGTTAACTTCACTTATTTTTTCAGAAAGGCAGCAGGTCTATTTTAATTTAAAAGTATTATTCTATGATCAAACATAATATACAGAATAACTGTTTTGCAGGTAAAATAACTTTTAAAATTAACTGTTGTAGACATGTAAAAGGTTAAGGTTAAGACCATAGTGTATTGGATTCATCCGTGCCGCACTGACTAAACAAAACTGATCGCCCGATCAGCAGAGTCGTTCGGAACTGACTGTTTTAAAGTTTCCCTTTTGGCGTTCCATACTGAGTGTTCATTCCTACCTGTGAATTTGACAAAGGTTGTCCAGATGCATGTCCGTCATTAACGAATGATCTGGTCTTTTCGAACATGAATTCGGAATGCGCTTGCCCAATACCACCGACTAACAATCGCTCCCTCGGTAGCTGCTCCATAAGGTAATAAAATCCTTTGTTGATTTCACCTAAAACAGCATCTTTAGGCAATCGAACATCGTCAAAATACAATTGGCATATATCCTATAAATAATATAAAAATTGATTAAAATCTAGGTGTAGGTTAAAATAAATCAACGCATGCACTTGTGAAAGCATTGTTTTTAAACGACCCCGTAGCAAATTTCTGTCTTTAAATTTAATGAGTTTATTCCGAGGATTGTCTGAAGGAAATTTGAGAGCGGTGGCCTATTCAAGAATGCATGAATTTAAATTTGTTACGTTTATTGAAGCCCCAGAAAGGTCTACTGAATATGCATCATTATAATTAAACTACTGTAACAGTACTGACAGCTAAAAATGGTGCCGTCTAATATGTGCAGATATTTGCTGTACTTACAAGTGCCGATTTAATTCTAAGTTACTATAGTTTAAATTATCTCTTACGATTGTCTTTTGTCCAAGCTTGTTTTCAGGACGTCCTCTTGTAAAACCTTTCATTCCTCTTTCAACTATAAATAGACTAATGCCATAGGCAATTTTCTTTACTTCAGTATTAGTCACCGCAACCACAATGCATACATCCGAAAGGTATCCGTTAGAGATGAACACCTGAAAGTAATAAAGGTTAAAGAAGGGGGAAAACCAGAACGTCATGGTCTGTGACTAAGTAGCAGCCTTTTTGTAGCTTCATTTTCACATCATTCAACAACAGGGGCTAAAAAGAACCATGGCATCAGGGTAACCCCCTACTCTTCTGAATTTATATCGGAAAGGGTCGAGCTGCATTTGTTAAGAGTTTTAGAAAAAGACAATATTAAATTACTAGTTGCTAAGTCTACTCTGAAATTCTTTTTTTCAAAATTTAAAAACGTTATCAAAATCACAGAATATGCACAAGAACAAATACGGTAATAGTGTACGCTAGACTTAATATTTCATTAAAACTTACTATTCCTATTCATTGTGTTTCTATTTCTATTAAGAAGTTCATTAAGGGTTGTGGTAGGGATGCATTGTTCTGTTGTGGGAATATGCGGGTTATTGTTAACATTAGTGGAGTAAAGGTTCTACCCCTATAACTACCACTGTTATGTGTCTTTTTCTGGTGTTTTAAACAGTTTAAAAGTTGAAAGTGTATACCTTACTGCCATTCAGAATCCAGTCATCCCCATCTGGTTTTGCGACCGTCTTAATGCCCTGTAGATCACTGTGTAACAAAAACTATTTCAGATTATTTATACATATTATTTATAGCATAATGACGCAATCGGTCTCCAATTGGGATTTCGAGGGTTCGAGTCTAGGGCCCGTAAGCTGTCCGTCACAACAATCATAATTCAATATTTGAACTTCATTTGTTCATTGCCGGGAAGATGAACATTAATAATGTTTGAAATATTGAATTACGATGGCTTGTATCACTTTTTCAGAGTTTGTTTCATCTATCTTCATAATAAATGTTTAATCAAATTTACTCCTCGCTGACAAAATATAAACTTTTTCACTCACTGCGCCCGACGGTCGTCGGCCGACGCGATTACATGAAGAATGCAACGCGACGACGCGCGTGTAACTGACGATCCGTTCAGACAACCACTACACCGACAAATCAGCAGACGTGGTCGCGTCGTCTAGCGCTCACAGGGAACGGAGTTGGATTCGTCGTACGACGCAGTGAGTGCCCCGATTTACTTGCCTGCCAGCTGATGGTTCAGTCATCGCTATACTTCCAATCATCTCACCCGATTTCATCTTTGGTATTATTCTCTCTTTCTGTTCCTTAGTACCTAGATGTGCGATGTATGGGGCCACAATATCGCTATGCAATGGGAAGCTACTACCTATAGCATTGCAATACATTCTAATGAAAAGAAGAAACAAGTAACAAGTTCTTAATATTCTTGGAGTGTCATTTGGTTTTTTTTTTATTTATTTATTTATTTTTTTTTTTTTAACGTAAACGACTATTGTACTTCAAACAATTCTGCTTTAGAGCTGCCTGAATACACTCCAAGTTCTAGACATTTACAAATACAAAGTATATAAACACTTTGATTATTATTATGACCTAAAATACAGAAGTATACTGTGAAATATAATATGTTGTACTATAATAATTATAATAACGGATACAGAGTTGGTTGACTGGTTATACAACATACGGAGCTGTTTGGCGCATCGCGGGCGGATCTGCTTCTCACCCTTGAGGTCGAAGTACAAATGGGTACCTGAGGTTCAAACACATAATGTGCTATAATTAGCTGCAACATTATGGACTTTTCCCTGGTGATAAAAGATATTAATGTTCTACGTGAATGATCTATAACCGGAGTCATAACGTGAAATGCGTAAAGGCCTTATTGGCAATGGACCTTTCCGCTAAACCCCGCCCCTTGAATATTGTTGCTAAGGTCCCACAAAGCGACAGTGTTAAACATATGCGAACACGTGCGTTTGTGGGACAACACGTGTGTTTGTGAGACGCGCGCGTATTCCTAGCGCTGTTCTGATTAGTCAGTTGTTAAGTTTGATTGACACTCCGGAAAGGTCTTTTATGATTACTGTTATTAATATTTCAATAAATATAGAAGGCACATTTATACACTAAGGTACAGTAGACCTATGTAGTTTTGTTGTGCTGCGTCTGTACTTAAAAATACCTATTAATAATATCCGGTATATAATTTCAACTTTTGAAACAATCAAAAATTGCTAAAACTTGTGGTTGATTATGACGTGGCAATGAGATTAAGTTTAATGTGTTCAATAAAGTTTACACAATTTCTGAGGAACTGTAAGCTAAGTTGAATAACTTCGCAACTGTCGTGTACTTTAGGCCTCCTATCAATGAAAAATAGGGCACTGACTTACTGTTCTTCCCACAAAAGAACTGCCGAAAAAAAATCTGCCCCGTGGCCACCGGCTTCCGCAGGAATATTCTTGCACAGCATACCGGCATCACCAGCCTGCTTCCAAACCTCCCGATCAACGTGGCCTTGTATTTCCCATCTAAAATATTTGAATGAAATATCAGAACTCCAAGGTAATCTTTAAAAATAATTTCCAATAAACTTTCAGACTCATTTACAAATTCGAATATCGGACATAATACAATTTTTATGTCAGATATAGTAATTCGGTATATCAATTAGTGTAACAGGACTGAAAAGTAAAAACCTTTTGACAACTTATAATAATTTATGAGCCACACTAGACTAAAAAAATAATTAGACAGTCTACGGGTGGTATCAGATACCAACATATTTATTTTTTGTTTGTATCCTCTGTAACATTAAACATGACTATTTCATGTTATTTTTTACTCTGCCGAAAAGTCTCACTAGGGTGTATACAGCTGATTATCGATGAACCATTATTTCACGACTCTAAATGTATAGACAGATACTAGGATATAATAATGGGATCCTTACCATTGACAATTAAAGCAGTGTAATCTGCGCATGCTTAAAGAAATATCGTTATTGTAACATAAAAAGAACGGTCAGAGTGTACTCAACATTTTTTTAAAACCGAAAATTATATTCGAATTTTAGTCTGCCATTTCCGGCGATCTTGAGGTGCCATAATTATAAGTTTTCTAACCCCAGGCCCCGACCATGGCGGGGTTAAGGTGCTCTACGCCCTCCATCTGTGAAATTCCTCTGCCCTTCTCTCTATTTCATATTCCTGGATCAGCAAATGTATATTGTCTTTCATCTCATGTTCAGTACGACATACACTATCATCTAATATCTTGCTTAATACATTTCTTTAAATCTAATCCAACATATTTACGTTGTTACAATTAATAACATTTGACCAATCAGTTTGAGTTGAAATATTCAACAGTAACTATAAATTTTGTGCAGGATTTCATAGATCAGATTTTTAAGGTATTACCGTATGAGAACCGAATTCCATACGAGTAATCTTCCTAGACAGTAAATAGCAAAGTGGCCCGTTAAGTAAATATTGAGTGTGTTTGCATGAGATAAGCTATCAGCAAAATTGCATAATATATGGTCAATAACAGTTGATATGCTACTAGAAAAACGAGTCCATTTTTCAAAAGTTTAGAAAAACCATATCGCTTAAATACATTTTCGTACATTTTCACAAGATTGAAGTTGCGATGGTTGACGTACAATTTTCCTAACTTATCCAGAAATTTGTTAAAGTGTGGTCTGTAGATGCTACCTACAGTGAATGGTTGATGGAAACTGAATTCAATCGAATCGAGTTTAAATTTGAAAATAGTGGTACCAATTGAATTAGGCCTATTACATTTTATTGTAACAATTTTTTTTTATAAAGTACTTTGAAACATTAGAATTTGTTAAACATGTGTTTATGTATATGTCATTAAATATTGACTGTTATCAATTTAATATTATATGATTTGTCAATTGCCCATGTCGATAACTGAAAAAGCCTATTAATAATGGAAAGCAAAGAATTATTCCAATTTGATCTGAAAAGCCAGTAGGTAAAGCAACTGAGTGGTAGACCCAATCTTACGGAATACGGACAGTGGCGTCACAGAGTTTGTGGGGCCCTGGTGCTGACACTTATTGGGGGCCCCTAAAAAGTGAGCGAAGCCAGCGTTTTCGAGCAGAGGGAACAAACAGACACAAGGGGCGAGGGGACGCATAGGACCCCCCTCCCAGACGGAGTCCAGTGGGTGAAGGCCCCTGGTGGTGGTCCGAGTGGGCTTATGTCATTTATGAACTGTTAACTGAGTTAACAGGGAACATAGAATGGTCTATGACTGATGAAGTATTACGGACAATTTTATGACAAAACCAACATTGATTACATAGGCAAACTTTTGGAACTGGTATAGGCCTACCAGTAGGCCTATTTACTCTATGTAGGTGTAAATAAATAAAGAAAATATTTTTAGTGAGAAACAAAACATGTGTTCATAACGTATGTACAATGCAAATCAGATTAATCACAAAATCAGAGACAAATGTCAAACATCAGAACCCAGCTTTTATTGCTTAAAACGGTCGGGGCCCCATTGAATGAAACCAGTATGGTATAGTTTATATTATATTTTTTAAAACTACAATGTCGGGGCCCCTCGTGCCTGGGGGACCTGGCGCTCCGCCCCCCCCCCCCCGCCACCGTCAGTTCCCGAGCGTCACCCCACTGAATACGGATGGAAGCAATGATTTATATTTTTCATTTTTTCATGAAAAATATATTTTTCATAATTGTGTATAATTTTGTTTGAATATCGATTTAATAAGCCTTTGAAACCTGTCTCTTATACACATCTTTTGATAAAACATAGGCCTACTGTAGCCAGACTATGGATGGAACGACACATGACGTACCTAGGCCCGTTCACTTTTACGGCCTTGAGATTCAGCGTTTGTATGGGCTTTGTATTTGAATAAATGCAAGAATAATACAAGTGGTTGATAGTAGATTCTGAAGTTTTATACATTTACATTTACTTTAGTCTGAAAATACAAAATACTATTTAATAGTTGTTCTATTGAAATGCGCTATTTCCAAGTCTGTGAGCATATGAACGATCTGCTGCTTTGTGGGTAGTCGTTGTACTTGTATTTTAATCAATGCAAAAATAAAACAGGTGATGGATTTAATGCAATGAGGTGATACATTCTGTCAGTCCAATACTAATTTGTTGCTCATTTAAAGTTTATTAAAATTCTACTATTTTAAGCTAAGAAACTTCACACAAATGCTGCGAAGCTAGCACTTCGAAAATTATGCCCATACAGTGTGGTCCACTGGCGCTATACGATAGACGAGGCTTAAAACGAAGGATTCATCCATCATATAACCTATGTGATCATCCGTCATTTCGTATACTTATTCGATCAAGTTTACAATAGGTACAGTACAACAAATGTTGGTCATGCAATAAGACATACGCCATATTTGTTTTAATTGTTCCTTTTGTACATGCCTAACGTAAGAAACAACATGTACTGTACAAAACAAAATAAAGAAGTTGCATAACATTAATTAATTACCTTCTTTTATGTTTGCTTTTTGAAATACTTATGCAGTTAACAACAATTATAAAACAGACCGGATGTTAATACCGAAAACAGACGGAATGAAGGCTTAATAATCATAAAAATTATATTTATTTGGTTTACATCAGTGGTACGCTTTGAAAAACAAAGGTCCGTCCGAAACACAAAATTTACAGACAAAAGATACAAGATAGGCCTACATCAAATTACAAGAACAACTAAGATTTAAAATAACCCAAAACCGCTAAAATATTTCCCTTTCTCCCTCCCTCTTCTTCCCTGAAGATTCAAATGTTACCTCCACATAACTAAAAAGAAGAAAAAAAGTGAGCAAACTTAATTACCCCTTATTTGCAGAAACAATACCCTAAGTACCCTTATTCCCCCCAATGATGCATTACCCCTTCCCCTTAAAAACCTAAACAACATCGAAGCTAGTAATGCTATAATGTTGTGATTATACTTGCATATTCTGCAACTGAAGTATGCCTTACTCATATAAAAGACCATTGTGTTTACTGGATAATTTGTTGAATTAGGACTCTGCCCAGCTAATCTTGACTATATCTAAAACACCATCAGTCATATACAGTGGTCCACTGACGCAAACTACGATTGGGATAGGCGAAGTTTCATACGAAGGGTTCATCCATGCAACATGGATGATCCGTCATGTAATAGTCCTAAAAAAACAAATTGTATTGCCTTTGGCGCCCAGCCTATAGGGAAAATCTAATGTATTTGAATGCATAGGCCTTGGCCTATAATGTACTTCAAACGCATGTAAAACGAGTGTCTTTCGAATTTGTGAGATAACTGATGTGTTGTGAGTGAATTTGATTATCTTATTTAATTATTTTGTCTTTGCATCATATATATACAAGATGTAATGGTATTGGTAATCGTGTCAGAATCGAGTTTCCTATAAGTCCTAATATCATACGTTAATTGAAGAACTATTTAATAGTATTTTGTATTTTCAGACTGAAAAATAAATGTATTTAACTTCAGAATCTACTATCAATCCCTTGTTTTATTCTTGGATTGATTCAATGCTCATACAAAGAAAAGTGTATCGTCCCATCAATATTGAACACTAAGTCACTCGCTATGCGCAGAAAAAATCAGAGGCTAACACAGACTTCAAAACAGCGCATGCGCAAAATCCGTTCTGTAAGGATGATTATTAATAATTAATAAATTTTACCAAACTATCCTACGTTATACACATCTAGATGTGTATAAGAGGGGGGTGCTGCCCCTTACTTGCTTTTTCTTAGATATTCACACATCCATAAATCATTCCGCAAATTCAGACACCTGAATGAAGATTTCTTCCGAGTCTTAAAGTAGCTCCAGCTACCATGGACAGCAAATAAATTACGATTTTGAGAATCGGATGGCAAGAGAGTGATCTTGTACAATGTCTCTTTTCTGGGGAGAGAGGGTACTCTTGCTTTTTATTATGTAGGCCAATATGATTGATGTGAAGAATTAGATATAATAAGTAAATTTATAGAATAATTTCTTTAAATGTTTTCCACTTGTTGCAACAATGTCTTTGTCTGGTAATTATTTTCTAATGTTGCTCTCATTGCTTAATATAAATATAATATAACAGATGAGCGTGCATGAGCTGTAGGCTTTACCCCAAATAATAATAATAATAATAATAAAAAACCTTTTACATTTCCAGAAAAACCTTCATCCACCGTTTTGATACTGTTCAGATTTAATATTACAGTTTCCTGTAAGTTCCTTTGTTGCCATTTTTGTCTACTTTGTATAACAATTTATATATTTCTAGAATTAATGTATTTTCATTGTTCTCAGAATGTTTTTCTTTGGCGTTGAGGGCGGTGAAGCAAGTGAGGAGTTCATGGGCCGAGTCAAACGACCGATTCCGCCGCCGTGATAGTTCGCTCAAGTTATTGCAAAAATCAATAAATAAAATAAGTAAATATTTGATAACGATAATAATGATAACATATAGGAAGTTAAACAATATAGGCATGTTTTGTTCTAGTTCTTGTTCAGCCAAAACAATTGAGGAATCTGAAAGGATTATTTAATAGATTTTAGAGTCTCAAATTCTGTAAAATTACGTAGGACTACAATTTTGTTCTGTCTCTGACAATTTGTTTTTTTTTCCTCCCGGCGAAGGATCAGCTCTCCAGACAGAGTGCCATGGCTCCGGCCACTACCGTCACCGCTACTGCTTTTATTTATTTATTTTTTTATCACTATATATTTGAATACTTAAATTAAGTCCTATATTTATTATATTAGAACAACCCTACAAAATGTTCAGGAATCTTCCTTTTTGTAATTCCTACAAACAGGGACAGCATAGCATTAGTTAGGCCTAGAGGTGTTTTGTATTTATAATATAAGCCTACTAGACTTAACCATGAAGAAATCATTTGAGATAATCCCTACAGGAAGGATGACTGGGTATATTCATGGTATATTTAACTTTCTAAGGTTTTGAATCGGTTGTGTAGAGGGGAATCCCCATTAAAACCACAATGAAACAGCACGTCCACCTTCACTGGCAGATTAATTGAGTTAATACCTAAAGGAAAATGACTGCGTGTATTTAAAATTTTGGATAGTTTGAATTTTGTGGGCGATTAACAAAAAATCGGTTGTGATCTGGCGGCCAGAGTAGCTGGACTTGCACGAACTATTCATTATGTCATGCAATCATTTCAATACTGACATAACGTGATCATTTAGGCATATTTGTTATCGATGGAACAAGGCCATATCTAAACTTTAGTTAGGGATATATAGGCAACCATGTCAAAAAATAAATTGTAAACCGAAATGATTGTTCAGAAATCTTTGTGGTCATATATGTTCTAGCCTGCCAGCAGCACTCATGCATGTAGATAATTACAAGTCAGACTTTTCAGTAATTTGACACTGTATGTATTTCATTTCATATCCCGTTGTGATGTGATTTTCTCGTTGAATTTCCTCACTTCCACGTATCCGAAATTTGTATATCCAAACTTAATAAATTAACGTATTCTTAAGAATGACCTACCATCCTCAATGCATTTCTTTTATGGAATCAGTATGACACATAATAAAAATAATAGCCTACAAGTACATGAATTGGTCTATGACTGGTGTAACAACAGCCACGAAGCTATTTACATTGCGGTCACAGGATTAAAGTAATAAAAAGGCATATTAAACAGTACTTAACATTGGTGTAGGCCTAGGCCTACCATATAAACTTTCTTTAACTTGTGTTCTTACCATTATTATTATTATTATTATTATTATTATTATTATTATTATTATTATTATTATTATTATTATTATTATTATTATTATTATTATTATTATTATTATTATTATTATTATTATTTTTATTATTATTATTATTATTAATATTATTATTATTATTATTATTATTATTATTATAATTATTATTATTAATGATAATAATATTATTTTTTAAATATTGTGTCCTATTCATTTGTATTCAATTTTTAAATATATGTTTTACTACTTTTATTATTCTGCTGGCTGGGTTGGACGAGTTATTATAGATAATTCCATCATCGCCGGTTTTTATGATTCAGCTTTAGACTGGCTAGCCCGCCACCCCCCCCCCCCTAACGGAGTAAAGTAGTAGGGAAAGCCTAGGCTAAGCCGCATCGTGTCGAGAAGTGCAGTACTGTACGCTGAAGAACGATAGCGTACGGTTACCATGCTCTATCGTCGTATGCATCCATTATTGACAATCCGGAAAAAAATAGTCACACAGATTACTAATAATGACCTGTAGATGAACAGATTATATAATTGTTCCTAATGCTTGTAGGTATACTGATTATCATTAATATTGATATTAGTATTATTATTATTAGCCTGTGCTGAACAGATTGATTGATTGATTGATTGATTGAATCTATTCGTAATCCAGGGTCATAATATACAACATATATAACATATATATATATAACAGACAAGTTAAAAATTGCACAAAAATATGACCCTAATTACAAGGAAAAGCCCAAAAAAGTAAAACTTTTTTCTACTGGGGGCCTGCTTTTATCTACTAGAATATACTCACTCGTCTTCATGTATACCATCATTCTAAGAAACTTGTATTATGCCTAATTATAATGTTTACTGATAATAATTTTAGCCTCAGTGGTTCCTAAAATACCAATGTAAAATATGTTCTGTATATTTCACATCATAATATTTACGTTCCTCTTTATTTTTCCCAGTAATCAAACAAATTATTAAAGCAGTGTAAACGATAATTCATTTTAGCTTCCTTGTTGATCCAATTTATTGATAATAATAATAGGTGATATAGTGAGTGATTTTGACGATTATGATGATGATAATGACGACGATGACGTGACGATAATGATAACGAATAAGATCGTTGATTGAACGCGCAACTGATAATGAAGCCCCGTCCAATAGCTACTATACTCTGGCCCAACAGCTTCCAGTTATGATTGGTTTTTATTCTGTATATTTACTATTTTAGCATAATATGAACATTCCTATATATATAGCATTTTCTACAGGTTGTTTATATTTTTTTTATAAGAGGAAGTATGTGAAACTGACAGTGTGAATGATAAATATTTTAACTGTTTAACTTCCTTGTAGCTCCAACTTAGAACAACGGAAACTATTCTAAAACGTATAGGCGTATATGAAAGTGAAACACAACCAAAAGTTCTCTGCATTCTAAATAGCATAATATCTTCAGTCATGTAGATATGAAATTCATTAATTACAATCCAAATTGTTTCGTTTACCGTACCTGAAGAAAGTACTTTTTTCATCTAATGATTTATTTTGATAACACAGTATTAGTGTATTGAATGTGTGGACACAGTGTGTTGACAGTGTG